GATGATGCTGGTGGATGACTGTTGTTGTTACTGTTGCTGTTGTTGTTGCTGCTGTTACCGCTGCTGTTGATAGTAGGATTAGTTGTAGTATTGAAATTGATATTTGGATGATGTTGATGAATATTATTATTGATGCTATTATTATAACTGTTATTGTTGTTAAAGGTTATTATTGATGTGGAAGGAGGATGAAGAATAGAACTGATGTTGGCGGAATTATTATTGATATTATTTTTGCTACTGATTGACGCTAAATTAATTGTTGTCGATAATGGAGGAGATAATAATGATGATTGTGATGGTGATGAATTATTTATGAAATTTGTCGATCTTGATGATGTCGGTGATGTGTGACATGTACTACCAGCTACTGTTGTTGGAGGGCAATGGTAACCACTTTCATATAATGAAAGAGGTGCATAAGAAGTTTGATTAGATCGCCTACCAATACTACTACTAATATTACTATTGTTGTTGTTGTTGTTGTTGTTGTTGTTGTTGTTGTTGCTGTTGTTGTTGTTGTTACTTATAATATTATTATTGTTGTTATAAAAACCAAAATTTTGTAGTGCATTAGATGATGTATCAACATATGAAAATAAAGATGAATATTGTTGATTACTATTATTATTGGTAAGATTTGCGTTTATTGTTGACGAAGATGAAAACGATGTCGGTGATGTCAGTAGTAGTGTTGGGCTATTATTATTACTACTAGTAGTAGTACTAGCAACGGTAGCGACAATAGAAGCGGTATTATTATTGGATGCGGAAGGAAAATTATTGTTGACCAAAACAGTATTACACGGAAATGTTAAATTTTGATTGTAAAAGTCGCCATTATTAAAATCATTAAATATGATATTCGAAGGTGGAGTTGCCTTTCGATTGGAATTGGAATTAAATTAACGAGGATTTCCTTTAAAGAATTTATTCTATTTACAAAAAAAAAAATCTTTAATATTTACCTTCCAATCATCATCGAAATTATTTGTTGATTGATCAGACTAAACAAATTAAACAAATAAAACAACAAATAAATAAATGGTAAAGAAATGAGAATTATTAGTATGTAGATGGAATATCACTCACATATGATTTGTGATTTTGTTGAGACAAAGGATCAAAATTTTTGGTGGTGTCGATAAATATCTATGGAAAATATCATTAACATGATAGAAAAAATTAGAATGTGAATGCTTATAAATAAATAAGTAAGTTTATTTAATGTTATTTATTACCTGATTATAAATAGAACTCGTAGTAGTACCTTCAATCTAATATAATTCGTTCGTTGTAATAATAAATGGTTGGTTATATTAATATATTATTTCCGTTATATTTAATAAAGAAATAATTATTTATCCAAATGAGCGAATGAATTATAGAATGGTGACGACGAAATTAGAGAGCGAGAAATAATTAAAGAGGTAATTAAAAAAAAAAGATCATATAATATTAATACTAATAATATTAATAGTAATACTGTTATTATAATTTACAGTAATATTATTAATTTACCTTGAAAAGCAGAATTTTGATCGAATTCTTGTTGGTTATTATTATTGTAAGACATTTTATTTATTATTTATAATAAATTTTTACTAATTAATTACTTAAAAAAATTCCAACAAAAAAATTAAAAAAGAATTGGGTGGATTTATATTGTTCTCTGGTTGATGGGTTAAGGTGATTTGTGAAATAAAAGGAATTTTTTATTTATAAATTTTTTTTTTATTTTTAATATTTATTTTTATTTTTAGGAAATAATCTTTTTTATTGTCAATTGGGATTGTGTGGTGTGTTGATATCGATGATGATAGAAAAGACGTGCCGGTAGTATGTTGATGCTGATTGATGATGATGATGATAGTTTTTTGTAGGAATGCGGTAACTGTATTAAGTGGTATCTATCCATATACAATAAAATATATAATATAATGTATAAATAAATAAATTAAAATTGGTAAGTGATTTCATTATATAAACAATAAATATTTATTATATTATTATTATTATTATTATTATTATTATTATTATTATTATTATTATTATTATTATTATTATTATTATTATTATTAGAATCAGAATATATTATTATTTTTAGAATAAAATAAAGTGATGATGATACTGATAATGATGGATTAATGTAAAAGGTAGGGAAGAAAGGAGGAGTGAGAGTGAGGGAGAATGAGAAGAAACAGTAAAATATTTTACATTTCAACCATTTTCAATCACTTCCAATCACTTCCAATCTGTTCAAAATAAAAAATAAAAAAAACCATTTGTATATTACTTACACACAGACCAAGAAAATTATATAAAAGTAAATATAGATCAACACAGTTAGATGATGATTAGAATGGGAGGAGGCTTTGATGATTTAAAATGATTTTTTGAAGATTTTTTTTTAGAAAAAAAGGATTGGATGGATATTTTTTGAATATAATATAAGAGTATTTTTTTATTTGTTTTTTGTTATTGATTTATATTATGCAAGAATGAAAGAAATATAAAGTTCTAGAAATTAAATATATATATATATATATATATATATATATATATATATATAAAGGTGTATGTATATTATAATAGGTCCGAGAAAATGTAAATTTGTGAAGTTATTATTATATGATATATATTATGATTAAGGATTTTATTTATATTATTAATTAATTATATTATTATTAATGAACTTTGATCAAAAAACTTTTTTTAAAGAAAAATTAATTTACACAAAGAAAATACTTAAAGGGATAGAGAATAAAGAATTGTTGAATCAAACAAATTGATTTTGATGATCGATGTGATTGTTGATAATAAAATGATGTTGGTGGCGGTGATGTGAAAGTGTGCGTGCGTACGTGCGTGTTTGTGTATTGTGTGTGTGATAAACGTGTGATTGTCTAATGAACGACACTAATCAATTAGAGAGTGTGTGTTGGTTAATATGAAATGATAGTTGTTGTATTTGAGAGATTATTAATATAAGAAGAAAGTGATGTTTTAAAAAATTAATTTTTTAATTTTTTAATCGTTAAAATATTATAATAGTAAACAACAATAGAATATATATAAAATCATTAAAAAATCAAGATTTGATTTTAGAAAACAAAAAAATCAGGAACAAGCATTAAAACAAACAAAAGAAAAAAAAATCATGGAAATTTTTTTTATTTGTTTTAAATAATTTGAACAGAGAATGATTTGGTTAGGTTTTTATAAGTTTTTTTTGATAAATATATAAAAAAAAATTTTTTTTTTAAAATATTTTAAATTGGGGTATCAATAAAAAATGGCAAAATAAAGAGGGTATATGTGATAAATTTGGATAAGTGCATATATATATATATCACAGCGCAATTACGTGACGTCTATCAAATAATTACTTTACTATCAATTTATTCACAGGTAATCTTTTGTATGAAATATAATGGATAAATAAATAATAAACTGGTTTTCTTTTATCCTTTCTCTTCTCAGTTTCGCCATAAAAAACAGTGTTATGCACAGTGGCCATGTAAATATTGATTAATTTTGATTTTGAGGATCAAAAATAAGTAATCAAATACTTTAAAATAAAGACATTTAAAACCGGTTAACTTATTATTAATGCTAGTTAAAAAAAAATTTTTAATTTATTAAATTACATGATATAAAAATTAACCTATACTACTTAAATATCACTAAAGTTTGTTTTTTGTTTTTTTTTTTTAGAACAAAAACGGGTTTTTCATCGAAATAGTTTGATTTCGATTTCGATTTTGATGAATTACGATTTTGATCCAAGTTTTGCGTTTTTCGAAAGTTTCGGATTTTCTTCCCCTTGAAACTTCACGGCAGCCAGTATTATGATGCCATAATCATTGATTGGATAATAACAAATATTTGTTTTGTATACGGATAATAAGTTATTTCTAAATTTATACAATTAAAATATATTAAATATTTTTTTTGTTTGTTGATATCTGAAGTCGGAACCATTAAATCAATAGCGGAAAAATGTCAAATTTATTATAATCAATGAAATAAATGAGAATATCAATAATAAACAAACTGGGTTAGTGTACTATCGGAAAATCGTCAAATGTATATATTTATACATATTAATATTTTATCATATAAGTAGCCTACTGCAGTGTTACATGTCAAACAAAATCTTGTTAACAATGAATTTAAAAATTAGCGTATTAATATTTAGTATAAGAAATGTCTAATTAATAGATTTTCTACACATTCCTACCACACCATATATAATTTACAAGTTAGCATTGGCATCTTTTTGGATTTATTTCACATACAAAATTAAATAAAAACTTTTATTAGTTGGATGATGATGATGATGGATAGATGGACGGATTAATATCAATCCACACACACACATTGTTATGATGCTCATAATGAAAATCACAATTTCATAATTTTCTCTTTGACTTATATTGTTTCGTTCCTATTATTTATTCTATTCGAATGGCAAGAGATTCCCATAAATTTATTCATTCATTCATTAACTTTCATTCAACGCTTATTAATTCGTTCGTCAACTCTTCGCTTTATTATTATTATTGTTGTTGTTGTTGTTATTATTAGCCCATTCATTAGCATTTAATGTGTTATGTGATACATAGGCACGTGCATATTCTTATTAGAATGCATATCTGTGGGTGGGTATAAAATGAATGAATGTTGTATGAATAATAAGTAATTAGCATTTGGTTAGCCAAAAAAAGAATATAAAAAACATTATTTATATAAATTTAGAGATCTACAAACAAACAATCTAACCGGCCAATCAAACAAGAATTTCTTTATAAATACACACAATGATTATCTAATTTCACCGTCAAAAAAAGATTTTTGAAGAAAAAAAACCCCCCATTTTTTGGAAATTATTTATAATAATAATAAATAATGATAATAATAATAATAATTTGTCAGCAAACAAACCGATGGAACTCTTAAATTTTGTTTGATAAGGGAAGAGAGAGAATAGGCGAGTGAACGGTTTCCCCAGTTGAAAAATTTCTAAAAACAAATTTAATATTTGAAAATTAAAATAAATAAATGAATAAATAAATAAATAAATAAATAAAAATTATTTTTAAAGTTTTATTTATTTATTTGGTAATGACCCTATCCTTTCATTCTTCGCATCGCACCCAATTATCACGGAAATTAATGTTTCCTGCAAGCAACCATCATCATTATTATTCTTTTCCTTCTTCTATTATTTGTTATTCTTCTTCCTTCGTCCACACACACACACATACATTACCAGTTTACCATAAAGTGCATTACCAATGGGCGTTTTTTTGAGATTCCCAATAAATCTTTTTTTGGTTATTATGAGTAATAGTGATCGGTGGGATCGTCCCCATTAATTGATCAAATCAATCAAATCAATCGAATCTATTCTGGTTTTTATTACATTCACAAATCAAATGCCACTGCAGGCACATGGCGAATATTCGAACCTTTCCTTATAAAGAGACTAAAAACGAGTTTTAAATCCACCCATACCTGATGCTATTGTAGAATAAAAATCACGTGAAAATTCAAATAATCACATTGGCTTTAAAAAAAAATTACACCGTTTAGATTTTTCCGTCTTGTGTATATTAAAAACTTTATACTTATTCGAATTAGTTATTCGGCACAATTATGCATCGAATTCATATTAAGCCAAGTAAGTGGCTATGTTCCTTGTCGCAATTGTGCTATCCATCCAGTCATGCGTCTGGGAATTTTTACTACGAGCTCAACTGTTATTGCTTAGTAACCACCAATAAGCATTTTTCGTACGTGTAACAACAAATTTATTCTTCAAAGCGATAACTGGAAAGAAAAAATTTATTATTGTAAGACTTAAACTTTTGCATGTGAATTTTAAAGTCACTTTTTTCTCTATAAAACAAAGATAATCTAAAACCTTAATTTGGTCCATAATAAAAAGTAAGTACATACGCTCACATACATTTTCAATATTTTTTATAAAATTTGTTATTGTCATTTTAGGTTATCTTTAAAAATACAATAATCATTGGGAAAATTTCATTTTAATTATTTCCACAAAAAAAAAAAAACCAAAATTATGACCAACCAGATTTGTTATTGGCGTTTAATGCTTTTTGGTGCGGACACCCGACATTCTAGTTTTTGCACATACCCTGCATTGGATCGTCAGTAACTTTTTTTTCTTTTAATTTTTTCATCAATAATGAATCAGAGATTACTATTTAATTATTCATTTATTTATATATATAGTGTGATCGATAAATAGGATGAATGATGACGTATTAAGGTATTTATGAAGTAACAAAATTGGATGACTTAATTTGGAAGTTTAAATATGTGGTGGTAAATTTTTTTAATATTATTATGACTATGGTCTTGGTAATTCATTCATCAATTCGTCCATTTATCCATTCACTCACTCATTCGTTCATTCATTCATTCGTTCGTTCATTCATTCATTATTGAAAGCAAACTATTTGGTCATGGTTGTGTTACTTGATTATATACACAAGAATAAAATATATTCCTAGATCTTATTTCGTATGAGAGGAATGGGGAGAG